TGAAGCAGTCGCAACTTATAAAAGGTGATTGATTCTGGGCATATTCCATACCAAGGATGAAAATGTATGGTGAAAGAGAGTCAACTTGTCGTAATCCTCTGCCTGGTGTAATGGGCCCAATTGATTCATTGTTGAGTAACATGTTGTATTGGACTTGGACATAGTTAATACACGTCATCATCCGTTGCACCCACATATTGTAGAAGCCCACCTTGCGAAATATAACTTCTAAGTAATCCCATGAATATGATAGACTGTCAAAAGCCTTACTGATGTCTATTTTAAAAGCCACTTCATATCTGCTCCCTCTGTTATGGCAATGGAGGTAATGGATAATTTTGGATACAACCATTACGTTGTCAGTGATGAGTCTCTTGTTGAGCTTGTTCCAACGATATGCATTTGGCCATAAGAGTTTTGAGTTTGTTTGCCAATGCTTTTGCTAGTTTTTTGTAAACCACGTTGCAAAGAGCAATGCGGCGAAGATTCTTTAAATTTTTCGATCTATCACATTTAGGGATGTGGACTATGTTAGTGTTGTTTAGAGACTCGGTCAGAAACCCTTTATCTAGCCAATCTTTGCAAGTTGTAAATATGTCATCTTTGCAAATATCCCAGAAGTGTTTGTAGAACCCTAGGGTGAAACCATCAGGGCTAAGAGCCTTGTCATTGTGCATCTGGAAAATTGCTTCTCCGATTTCCTCCTTGATTAATGGTTTTGTTAGCATATGGTTATCTTCTATAGACATGGGCTCATTTAGAGTGTTCACAACATAATTGACCCTCTAGTGGCATGTCCTCCAAATCATAGTCCAGTATGGTCTGACAAAAACTAGTTATGAGCCACTGTGGGTAGGGAATGCACCCTTTTTTCTCGTCCTCAGCCAGAAGATCATTAAAATCACCAATGATGCACCAAGGTAAGGGGGATAAGGATGCAAGGTAACAAATTTGGTTCCACGCTTCCTTCTTGCGGCGTCTTTCCGGATAGCCATAGTATCAAGTAAATCTCCATGTTGCGACCTCGTTTTGTCTTATATCTACATTAATAAAATTTGAGCCAAATAAGGTAACGTTAACATAAAAATAATCATTCCAAAATAGAGCAAGTCCACCTCTCCTCCCATCATGTTCAACCATGAAAACTGATTGAAAACCAAGCAAGACTCAAAGCTCTTCTATACGTTCTTAAAGGCAACATTTCACAGAGAAAGAGAATATCTGGCTTATACAATTGCACCAAGTCACGAATACTGTGTGGGTCGAGATCAAGCCCATGCATGTTCGTAGTGAAAAAATGTATTGCAAAATATCCTTAGGTCGGTGCAGACAATGCGTATATATATAGGTCTCAACGGATATAGAGTTTGTACGAATCTAGATCATCTCTCTAGCTACCACCATTTTCTTAATCTCTCTCTAATTTCCTTTTCTCTCTCAATTCAATCATGTCTTGCCACTGTTTTGATGCTTCAATTTTCTAACGAACTCATGGAGGAAATCCTTTGTCTTTGCCTTTTCTCTCTCAACTCAATCCAATTTTTAGGGTTGTCTTTGCCTTTCTCACCTTTACAAAGGAACACGTTAATTATGGTTTATGAAAAATGAAGGAATTTGGTGATTCCAAGTCTTGAAATTTGTTGATAATGGTTAGTTACAACTATTTTATATCTCGAAACAAAATTTTTTCAAGTATTAACAACACTAAAACTTATATGTATAAGGTGCAACAAATATAAAACATAAATCCGTTTATGCAACAGATATACTCATATTAAGTTGCATTACTTTACAAAATAATTGTTATAGTAAGATCAAAGAGCATGTATTTATAAATATTAGGGAATTTCATCGACCTCTTATTGCTTGAAAATTGGTGAAAAAGATAAAGAAGTTGAAGAATAGAAAATGAGCCAATAATAAAGTTCGCGACATTACTATAAGTTAACCTTTGTAGTACTGTTATAATTAATAAACATTGTTAGTTGATTTTATGTGCATGTGCATTGTACAATGTATATTGTAAAATGAGAGTACTTGAAAAGGAGAGATTGTGGCAACATTATCAATTAACATGTTGCTCCCATATAATGATTGCTTTCATCAGTTTAGAAATAAACAATGTGTAGTATACTAGTGATATAGAGTTTTAAATAGATCCATAGAGCTAGGTACCAACTTAGTGAAAACCCTAAAAAAATAAGAAAAAAGACAAAAATCCAAGTAATTAAGTAGTGGGTAGGAGAGGTTTTGCTTCGGTTTTGTTGGGTTTGTAAAATCACTCGAAAGAGAAAAAACAAAAACTTCAGTGTGTAGTAAAATAGCAAAGATATATTTTTAAATATCAAATTAAATTTAAAACTAGTATAAATTTATTATATAAGAAAACCCTAATTTATCAACTAGGTAGTTTAGTACTTGGATATCAAATTTCTCATAGATTATAATTTGGTTTGAGAAAGCTAATAGTGGTGTATATGTCACTACCTCCACTCTGTTGATGATTTTTATTTGGTTCAAATAGTTTGTGTGTAATGTAATGATTGTTTTGTGAGATGCACATGTCTCTCTCTTTATGTTTTTTGTTTTTTTTTTTTAATTTGATTCAATTAACTCCCGGATTTTATTTTTACATCGGTCATAAAAACAACCGATGTAAATATATTTTTATTTTCTATTTATTTACAAGTTTGCCACCGCATTTATAATTTACATCGGTTCTATTAGAACCGATGTAAATATAGCGATATTAAATACTGTTTTTGTAGTAGTGTGTCATCAAGGGGATGTGATTGAAGTAAAGAATAGAATATTGATGTTTATGATAGTCCATATGGTGATGCTCGTATTGATATAATTTGGAGTTCAAATATGATAACTTTTTTTTGCTTTCATGTGTTTTTATATATGGGATAGTTATCAAAAAATCTTGCAACCACATGAAAAGATAGCAAAGAAACATCTCATATTAAAAGTTGTAACATATGAATTATTCGCTGAATTTAAATCAAAGTATATGTTGTCTTGTAATTTTAACTATTATATTATTTACTATTTAAAAACCTTAGCTGCATGTTTAGCTATTAAATTTTTACTATCATTTAAAGTTTATTATGTTATTAGTTGTAAACAAATAATATTTGACCTTATTTTACATGAGAAATATAAGCAACGTTTAAATGAGGTCAAACAACAAGCCACACAAGAAGGTATAAAGGGCTCTAGTTCTACCTCTATTAGTGATAATGAAGTTTATTTGCAGGTTGTTAAAAAAAGGATGTGAAGGTGAACTTGTATGGGATTGGAAATCATTTACTATATTATTTTTTTTGTGACATATTTACTATGTTCTTATTCATTATAAATTGGGTAATCATTATTTTGCAAATATATATTATTAATTATGTAATTATAACAGGTATACAATTATAAATTAAAAAGTAATAATAAAAATACTAAAGACATGGTGATTGAATTATTTAATAACAATATACTAAAATCTATTTTTGCGAGTAAATCAACGACCATTTATATAATCAGGAAAAAAAAATTAAGATTAAATTAAATTTTTACTTTGCGGTGGAATTATTGACTAAATTAATTAGAGATTATTTGTGATCAAACTTGACTGATTTTAAATACCAAAACTTTTAAAAATAAAATATATTACAACTAAATTCGCAACAAAATATTTCAATCACAAAATTGGTCATATCATGTTAGACGACCAATATTTTAGCAACGGATAATTCAACCTCAACGACATACACATATGGTTGCTACGTAGCATTAAATACAATTTAGTCGCAAAATCCGTCATTAAGACCAATAGCGACCAAATATAAACAAAATGATGATGTGATTGTTTGGTCACTAAATATTTTTTTTTGTAGTGCTTGAATTTTCGATCTATCACTATTAATTGGTTACTAGGAAGAGTTTGTATAATCTATGGGATTAGAAGAATAAAATTAAGATTCTCTTTGATTCTAGAGTCTTTCTCTTTAACTTCTCTTTAACTTTTTGAATTTATATGAAATTCATGTTTTAAGAAAACTTTTTAAATACTTTTTTTTCTAAACTTAGTCAACTTGACTTTACTAAACACAACCTCCAAAACAACCTAATTTTCAAGGATCGATTGATCTTGAGAATTCTAAAATAATAATAAACACAATTTGTCAACGTTAACACACAACAAAACATGTCATTTATTAATATAGCATATAAATCATATGCAGTGAGGATACTGCAAATATTATATTTATTAAATTCATATTTAACACACACACCCCAATACTAAAATATATTTATTTTCATATCAACATGTGTACATTGAAAATAAACCATTCATCAATTGAAATACACAAAATACAAAAATAAATATAATATTTAATATCATTAATAAAATATCACAACATATGCATATTTTTTCTTTATACATCATCATTTATTTTATTTATTAATTATAATAGTATTTATAAAAATAAAAATAAAGAAATATATTAATTTGTATATCAATCTATATACATTGAATATAAATTATTAAAGTAAAATACACAAATGCATTAAAATTAATTTAATATTTAATGCCATTAATAATTTTTTTATAAATATTTGAATATGCATATTGTCATATGCATTATTATCTAATGTGTTTATATTTTAGTATTTGTAAAAATAAAAAGTAATTTCTTCTTTATATAGTATATATTAATGTATGTATTCCTTTATTTTTATTTTTTTTTATAAGTATATATTTTGATTTTCTAAAAGAGATAGAAAATAGAAGAAGAAAGTTTTGAATCTTATAGGATGGACATAGACCAAGCCTAGGCCCATAAAGAAATGTATTGTGAATTTTTTTGGGTCAATGTGGACGGTGTGTATATATAGGTCTCAATAAATTTAGGGTTTGTACGGATCTAGATTGTCTCGACCAAACCACTATCATTTTCTCTACTCTTAATCTTTTTCCAATTTCCTTTTCCCTTTCAACCATGTCTCATGGTTTTTCCAATGCTCAAGTTTTGCCCGGTGAACTCATGGTGGAAATCTTATCACGTCTTCCAGTGAAAGAACTCATGCGATTTAGGTGCATTTCCAAGTCCTTGAACTCCCTAGTCTTTGATCCTACTATGGTCAAACTTCACCTCCAAAGATCTTCCAAAGACACCCCTATTCTCTTCACGCAATCCAATTGCACACTAGACCAACCATTTCTACTCCGTTGCACCTCTATCAAGTCTTTACTCACAGATCCATCCTCCACCCTCAATGACACTAATGATAGCATCCCTTTTCAACGAAAATATGGTGGTATAATTGGTGTTTGCAATGGCCTAGTCTGCATACAATGCGTGAATCAAGCATGCAAAAAGGTATGGGTTCAATTCTGGAACCCAGCTACTAGATTGAGATCTAGAAACTCACCTTCTATGAAGGTAGTTGTTGGTGACATGAAAATAGGTTTTGGCTATGATGAGTCCAATGATACATACAAGGTGGTGGCAGTGTTGTGGCCACCATCAAATGGGGACCACAAACAACAAAAGATAGAGTTGAGAGTTCACAATTTAGGGGACAATTGTTGGAGAAAGATTGCTATTGGGGATGATTTTCCAACGTGTGTAGTTCAACACAAGGGAGAATTTCTCAATGGTACTATTAACTGGGCAGCGCAACTTGCATCTAAAGAGTATGTTGTCTTCTCCTTTGACATCAAGAATGAGACATACCAATGTTTCTCCTTGCCCGTTGATGAATGGTTTGGTCTTCGACCAATGCTCAGAGTTTTTGGGGGTTGCCTTTGCCTTTCTCACCTTTACAATGGAAAACATTATGGTTTATGGCAAATGAAGGAGTTTGGTAATCCCAAGTCTTGGACTTTGTTGATGACTGTTGGTTATGACCATCTTCTTTCTCGTTATAGTAATTTTCCGCATCCATTGTGCATCTCTAACAACAACGATGTCTTGTTACTTATTAATAATAAAATTCACCAACTTATTCGGTATGATCGGAGGGATGATGAAGTGGAGCAATTTGATATTTCCCACAAACGTATTATTTTGAACTCCACCAATTATGTTCAGAGCTTGGTTCTACCTTATCGCAATTGAGCTCCTTTACAAGGGATGTCTTGCTTCAGTTGGGGTTAAATCATGTAAGTGGTTTTTGAAAATTTTCATTTCATGCATGCATGGACATGGACAAGACATATGGTGTGAAATTATTTTCTAGTTGGCCAATTTCTTGGTTGTTTCTGTTGGTTATTGTTGTTATCATAATTGCATCAAAAGCTTAGGATCATGACAAATCTTTCGGCTAATTTGTTGGTTGATTTGATTCTATTAGTTTTGAAGTGGTTCTTGTAACGAAAAACTTGTGTATGAACATTAGAATAAAATAGATCTATTTTGGTTCAAAAATACTATCATTGAAAAGCAAAATACTATGAACATGTACCCGGTCAATTCTTGAAGCATAAAATTTCTTCTTTAATATTGTGAATATTCCACATGTATCTATACCAAGAGAGTCAATCTTTGCTTAAAAAAACTCTTGACTATGAAACTGTATATCTATGTTTTTCTTATTTTTCAGAAGTTTCTATAAGGAAAAAAAAAACCGTATTTTTAGGATATTTGGAATTGCTATCTTATAGCTATAGGATATGCAATTTTAAATTTCATTTGACTATTGATAGAAATCATATATTTGAAATATATAGCTAGTTGAATATTGAAAGCAATCATGTGTCATCTTTCAGTTCTATTTTTAAATAGTTTTAAAAGAATCATATTTGAAATATATATTTATTTTCACTTCATTATTGCAAAATATTAAAGAGAAATTCTATGGTATCCATATTATTTGGGAGGGTACGATACAGTTATAATTATAATTTTATTTTATATTTTATATTTTAAATAATTTATTTAAATAATATTTATGATATTTTATTCTTTAAAATTTTAAATTATTTAGTCATTTTATTTTTATTTTATATATTTTAATTTTATTTGTAATAATATTATTATATATTTAAATAGTTTAATTTTAATAATTTTTAAGTATATTTTTTGTCTTTTCACTTAAAATTTTTAAATTTCTATATTTTAATTTTAATAATTTTTT